CAGGAGAACTGCTTGAACTCAGGAGGCAGAGGTTGCAGTGAGCCATGATTATGCCACTGTACTCCAGCCTGGGCAACAGAGTGAGACTTTGTCAAAAACAAAATTCAATGAAATAGAACTGGATGCACAGAGTGTTCCCCCGGCATGGCACGGTAAAGCACTCAACAGCCGGCAAGTGGCTCACAGTTGTCATCCCAGCACCTTGGGAGGCTGAATGAGGCAGGTGGGTCACTAAGGCCAAGAGTTTGAGATCAGCCTGGCAAACACAGTGAAACACTGTGTCTACTAAAAATAAAATAAATAAAATAAAATAAAATAATAAAATAAAAGCCAGGCATGATGGAGCACAGCTGCAATCCCAGACACTAGAGAGGCTGAGTCACAAACATTGCTTTTACCTGGGAGGTGGAGATTGCAGTGAGCCAAGATCAGGCCACTGTACCCCTGCCTGGGTGACAGAGTGAGACTCTGTAAAAAAAAAAGAAAGAAAGAAAGAAAAAAGTAAAGCAAAGAAAAGCCAGCATGAGACTTTGGGCAGGACTTGCGAAGGATTCCTGCGGAAGCCCGTCACCATCTCCTCTATTTAAACCTGCACCCGAGCTGTGCTGTTGAACCACCGATAAGACTGGAAGCGAGCGGAAGAACAAGGTGGGTTGTGAACAGGGCTATAAGAGAGACTTTGGGCTGGGCACAGTGCTCACGCCTGTAATCCCAACATTTTAGGAGGCTGAGGTGGCAAGATTGCTTCAGGCCAGGAGTTCCAGCAAAACCTCGTCTCTACAGAAATAAAACAGGCCGGGCGTGGCGGCTCATACCTGTAATTCCCACACTTGGGGAGGCCGAGGTGGGCGGATCACCTGAGACCAGGAGTTTGTGACCAGCCTGGCCCACACAGTGAAACTCCGTCTCTACTGAAAATACAAGAATTAGCTGGGCGTGGTTGCAGGCACCTGTAATCCCCGCTACTCGGGAGGCTGAGGCAGGAGAACTGCTTGAACCCAGGAGATGGAGGTTGCGGTGAGCCAAGATCGTGCCATTGCACTCCAGCCTGGGTGTCAGAGCGAGACTCCATCTCAACAAGAAAAATTAATAATAAATAAAAACGTAAGCCAGCATGGTGGTCTGTGCTCAGGAGGCTGAGTCGAGAGGAACTCCTGAGCCTGGGAGTTCACTAGCTGACCGCGACTCTCAAACGTGCTACCTCCCAGGTCCTCCAGGCCTGCCCTGCAGGCAGGCTGAGCAAGATCCCACAGCTGGAGACGCAGCTGTCTGCATGAGGAGCCTACAGGTCACACAGGAATGTTGAGTGCCCGGGGCGGCAGGCATGGGGGTGTCTCTCTGGCGGTGTGCACAGGGAATTCTGAGCCGATATGGAAAGTGTCCCAATCAGGCACACTCAGGCCGTTGTGGAGCCCTGAGGAGGGACTGACTCACCCTCCAGTCACCCTGGCACGGCCCCTGGATGTGCCTCAAAGCTTCCTGTCCTGAGGCCTTTGCTTGTATCGTTTCCTCTGCCTGGAAGGCCCCTTCCCATCACCTCCTGGCCCAGGCCTTAGCTGGCTGACCCCTGCCTGCCCCTTTGGACAAGTGGAACTTGGTGCTGGACTCCTCCCAGACACCCGGCTTCCCTCCTGGCCAGGCTATTTCCACACCCGCTCCGTCTACACCAGTGCCTGCTGCCCCTTCGCTGGTGTCTCCTCCACAGTCTGAGATCAGTCCTTGAGGTCAGAATGGAGTCTTATTCACCTGCGTTATTAGCACTCAGCCCAGTAAATATTTTTTGATGAACCGTGTCAACCTTAAATAATGAGATTTAGAAAATATGATCAAGTATAGCATTTATTTAAGCACAAAGTTTGGGTATGATCCCCCTGGAAGGCACTTACTCTAGATGAATGAGTTCATGTTTCCAACGTGGAGTTAAGATGGCAGGGGCAGGGGCAGGGGCAGGGGCAGAGGCAGGGGCAGGGGCAGAGGTAGGGGCAGGGGCAGGGGCAGAGGTAGGGGCAGGGGCAGAAGTAGGGGCAGGGGCAGAGGCAGAGGTAGGGGCAGGGGCAGGGGCAGAGGTAGAGGCAGGGGCAGAGGTAGGGGCAGGGGCAGGGGCAGAGGTAGGGGCAGGGGCAGGGGCAGAGGTAGAGGCAGGGGCAGAGGTAGGGGCAGGGGCAGGGGCAGAGGCAGAGGCAGGGGCAGAGGCAGGGGCAGGGGCAGAGGTAGGGGCAGGGGCAGAGGCAGGGGCAGGGGCAGAGGAAGAGGCAGGGGCAGGGGCAGAGGTAGGGGCAGGGGCAGAGGCAGAGGCAGAGGCAGGGGCAGGGGAAGAGGTAGGGGCAGGGGAAGGGGCAGAGGTAGGGGCAGGGGCAGGGGTAGAGGCAGAGGCAGGGGCAGAGGCAGGGGCAGGGGCAGAGGCAGAGGCAGGGGCAGGGGCAGAGGCAGAGTCAGGGGCAGGGGCGGGGTAGGGGCAGGGGAAGGGGCAGGGGCAGGGGAAGGGGCAGGGGAAGGGGCAGGGGTAGGGGCAGGGGCAGGGGCAGGGGCAGAGGTAGAGGTAGGGGCAGAGGTAGAGGCAGAGGCAGAGGCAGGGGCAGGGGCAGGGGCAGGGGCAGGGGTAGGGGCAGGGGCAGGGGCAGGGGCAGGGGCAGGGGCAGGGGCAGGGGTAGGGGTAGGGGCAGGGGCAGGGGCAGGGGCAGGGGAAGGGGCAGGGACAGGGGCAGGGGAAGGGACAGGGACAGGGGCAGGGGTAGGGGCAGGGGCAGGGGCAGGGGCAGGGGCAGGGGCAGGGGCAGGGGAAGGGGCAGGGGAAGGGGCAGGGGTAGGGGTAGGGGCAGGGGCAGGGGCAGAGGTAGAGGTAGAGGCAGAGGCAGAGGCAGAGGCAGGGGCAGAGGCTGCAGCAGGGTTACAGCAGTTTCCATGCAAGCCCAGGTGCATACGCCACAATTACAAGTTGCTGCATTCCCAGGAAGATTCCTCTATTACTCTGTAAGGAGGGGTGGTGATCTGAGGGGGTCTTATCTCTGGCAACATTTGGTCTTAATTATTTACAGAAAAAAAGGGCAAAAGTCTCAGCTGCATGCTCGTGACTCAGGCTGCAGAGTCACATTTCTCAGAGGCTTGGGGAAATGTGAAGTCCAGCAGCCGTAAGTCTGAATTATCTTAAGTCGGAATCATTTAGTTTCATAACCGTATTCTTTGGGTATAACAGTAGTGGGAGGAGGAGTCGTGTCTCAGCTGGGTATTGAAGGATGAATAGGAGTTTGCCAGAGGGGCATTCTAGGCAGAGGGAAGAGCTTTTGCGAAGGACACAGTGTTTGAAAAGCAGGTGAGACCGGGCGCGGTGGCTCACGCCTGTAATCCCAGCACTTTGGGAGGCCGAGGTGGGTGGATCATGAGGTCAGGGGATCGAGACCATCCTGTCAACATGGTGAAACCCCGTCTCTACTAAAAATACAAAAATTAGCTGGGTATGGTGGCGCGCGCCTGTAATCCCAGCTACTCAGGAGGCTGAGGCAGGAGAATTGCCTGAACCCAGGAGGCGGAGGTTGTGGTGAGCCGAGATCTCGCCATTGCACTCCAGCCTGGGTAACAAGCAAAACTCCGTCTCAAAAAGAAACAAAAAAGAAAAGCAGGTGAGACGATGATGTTCAGGAAGGAAGGGTGCAAGAGAGGAGGGCCGGGCAGATGCTGGAGACGGAGGCAGTGGCCGGATGATGGCCCGTGAACAGCCGGGGCTTCAGCGGGGCGATGTCGTGAGGGCCCCCCAGTAGCGTCAGTCAGGTCTGCAATACAGATGGCTGTGGGCTGCGAGCAGAGGATGGACTGGAGGGTGAAGGAAACTAAGATATTTCACCCCAAAATATATGTCTTTGGCACATTTCAAGATTGCTGTTTGGAAGGGATGGGAACTGTTAAGAATAGCCAGAAAACTTTTTTTTTTCTCCCCTAGACGAAGTCTTGCTCTGTCGCCCAGAGCTGGAGTGCAATGGCGTGATCTCAGCTCACTACAACCTCTGCCTCCTGGGTTCAAGCAATTCTCCTGCCTCAACCTCCCGAGTAGCTGGGATTACAGGCACGTGCCACCACACCCGGCTAATTTTTGTATTTTAGTAGAGATGGGGTTTCACCGTGTTGGCCAGGTTGGTCTCGATCTCCTGAACTTGTGATTCACCTGGGTCAGCCTCTGAAAGTGCTGGGATTACAGGTGTGAGCCACCGAGCCCAGCCAGAAAACTCTTTTGTTGGGGAGATTTGCATCTGTAGAGAAACCAGGTCGATGCAGCCCAGCTTTCTCTGACAGCTTCCTTGGTCTGGATCCAGGAAAGGGTAACTAAGTCGGACGCCTTCAGAAGCCTGAAAGAAACGTTTCCCACCTATTCTCCCTGCGGGCTGCTACCTGCGAGGTTTCCTCCTCTTCCCTTCCATAACGTGTTTTGCTGAGATCCAAGCCCTTATTTTTTCTGCAACCTCAAGATGGTATAAAAGCATCAGCCACCTTCCCTTTCTTTAAGAGCGTATATTTTGCACTACAAGATGTTTGTCTCTCAGGCCCATTCAAATTCCAAAGAGAATCCTTTACAAGTGAATGTCTCTTATTTTAACTGTTTTACCAGGTGGGGTTACTCAGCACTATACAAATAGGAGAATCATTTACAAGTTAATTTAATTCTCCCAGATAATCACCTACTGGTCCTCTAAAAAATCACCCTGCAGCCGCCCCCTGACTCACGCCTGTAATCCCAGCACTCTAGGAGGCCGAGGGTGGGCAGATCACCTGAGGTCAGGAGTCCGAGACCAGCCCTGACAACGTGGTGAAACACCGTCTCTACTAAAAATACAAAAATTAGCTGGGTGTGGTGGCACACGCCTGTAATCCCAGCTACTCAGGAGGCTGAGGCAGGAGAATCACTTGAACCCAGGAAATGGAGGTTGCATTGAGCTGAGATGGTGCCACTGCACTCCAGCCTGAGCAACAGAGTGAGCCTCTGTCTCAAAAAAAAAAAAATCCCCTACATTCTTCATCTCCACCCTCCTCTATGAAAAAGGGTAGGAAAGCTGCTGCACCCCACTGGGGGATTAAGGTGCCCACTCTGCTCTCCTCAGCCGCCCGGGCATGTGAGTAAATGTGTATGCCTCTTCTCCTAGCAGTCTGCCTTTTGTCTGTCAATTTTCAGTGAGCCTCCTGTGGGTGAAGGGTCCCTGTGGCCCCTACAGAGGAATGGCATGGTAGGTAAGTGTCACAATTGAGACGCACGGTGTTAGAGGAAGGGGAAGCTGGTAGCAGGCACGGCTAATGGAGCTCTCAGAAGGAATGAGCCTCACAATTCAGACAGGAGAAAAGGAAAGCTCTTTTATTTATGAAACCTAGTTCAGCAATAGGCCTGGGAGCTTCTGGTGGGGTCTCCAGGGAAGCACTGACTTCCTCTCCCGTTTAATTGCTCAGAGGTGCTTTCACGCTTAGGGACTTGCCCCTCTTGGGTCTGTGGCATAGGGACTGCTGAATCCTGGGCTTCTCTGCAGAGCACCCCCCTAAACGCCAGCCAGTCTGCTTGAATGAGGGGGCTATCCCCCAACACCAGCCTTCACCCCCCTGGAAGGGGAGGTTTCGAGGAGGGCAATGGGGACCAGATTCTGGAATGGTGCAGTTTTAACTTGTGAAAGTTGCATTAGGTTATGTAATAAATGGGTCTCATCTGCAGGCAGTGGGGGGCAGCCCGGAAACCCAGAAAGGGGAGTGGGGTGGAATGCAGCAAGGAGAGACCAAAGAACGGGGGGGGGGGGGGGGGGGGAGGGCCCGCCACAGGCACAGAATGAAGGCAGCTCAGGCACGACTGCTTTGGGAGGGACAAGGGAAGGGACCCAGTTGGGGTTTGGGGCCAGAAGGAAGTGCTGCGCCTGACAACGGCATGGCCGCAAGCAAGGGAGCATGCACAGTGTCCCCAGGGGACAGGGACCATCTGGGCATACTCGTGAACCAGGGGTGACAGGAAGCAGCCTCCCCGACAGGGAGCACCGGGCGCCACCTTCCAGGACACAGCCAGCCATTACCTTCACTAGAACGAAGGCCAGGACCCACCTGTCCACATAGTTGGAGCCCAGGGGTCCAGCCTCAGCCCTGGTGACCTGCTGAGGGAGGTGGGAGCCCCTCCTCATGTATCTGGAAGGAGGCACCCTTGCAGGACCACCCCCGGTCCCTGGTGCAACCTGCCACCTGCTTCTCCCAGGCATGTGAGGCGCTTCTCTGATTGATGAGATGCCTGGCTGTCGCTGTCAGGGTGACCTGCCCGCCAAGCTCCGCTCCTGGCCCGGGGGCAGGCTGGCTTCAGGGACACACCCAGGCAAGATGATGCATCTTATCACAAGCTAGAGTGTGGGGGGTGGAGCGGCATGAGTGACCAGTCACTGACAGCGCAGTCATCCTGAGCAAGTGACATTGTGTCTCTCTGTGCCTCAGTTTCCTCATTCATAAGGTGTGGCCCCCTAGGATTCTCGGAGGACCCTGTGGGGATCAGAGCGACTTCATTTTCAACGCGAATCCAGCATGTGACTCCTGACTGGCCGGAGTCCGGGAATGCCTCCAAGACGGCGGGTTGATGTGTTACCCTTAGGCAGAACCTCCTACTCACCAGCCTTTCCTCCAAAACTGCCCTTGGTATTGCACGCCTGACAGGCTGTGACGCCCGCAGACACCTACGCATTCCTTCCAGAGCACGTACGCTCTTCCCCGATGCACGGGTCTGGGCGGTTGTGGTGCAGAGATGTAGTGTCTTGTGGCTACCCGAGAGCACATTTCTGTTCATCAAGATCCCCTAATAAATCATCTCTTACTGACAAACCGGGTGCGTCTGCCTCTTTCTTTGGCTTCTTGGCTCCCTCTGCATTTGGGGGCCACTTTGCAGATACGGCCTTTTCCGGAAACAGACCCCACGTGGTCAGAGAGGAAGAAACACAAGCTGTGATAATTCCCTCCTTCACCTCCCATGGTGGATCCCTGGGCAGGCCCCAGGCCTGGGCTGGAGGTGCTGGTGGAAACCCATCCCCTGGGTTCACAAGCAGACTTTGTCCCATGCAGCTGCCTCCTCGTCACCCTGCATGGCTGGCTACCACCCTGGAGCGACCTAGGTGCAGGTTTGGGGTGAGGATGGGGTGGGCCACAGTGGAAGACTTTTCTGATCTAAAATACACTGAGCAGGGCCTGGGTGAGGTGGCTCACGCCTGTAATCCCAGCACTTTGGGAGGCCAAGGCAGGAGGATCACTTGAGGCAAGGAGTTCGAGACCAGCCTGGCCAACACAGTGAAACCCATCTTTTCTAAAAATGGAGAAAAAAAAATAGCTGAGTGTAGTGACGCATGCCTGTAATCCCAGCTACTCAAAAAGCGAAGGCACGAGAATCGCTTGAACCTGGGAGGAGGAGGTTGCAGTGAGCCGAGATCAGGCCATTGCACTCCAGTCTGGGCAACAGAGAGACACTCTGTCTCAAAATAAATAAATAACTCAAAAATAAAATAAAATACACTGAGTAATGTCTTCCAACTCAGTCCTTCTGGAAGCTCTGCATTTCAGGATTTGGGGACTGGTGCGTTAGGGAAACTCACCTTTTCCTCATGCTGGTTCTCAGCTAGCTCAGAACTCAGAGGGGGCCGGGCGCAGTGGCTCACACTTCTAATCCCAGCACTTTGGAGGCTGAGGCAGGTGAATCACCTGAGATCAGGAATTTGAGACCAGCCTGGCCAACATAGTGAAACCCCATCTCTACTAAAAATACGAAAAATTATCTGGGTATGGTTGCACACGCCTGTAGTCCCAGCTACTCTGGAGGCTGAGGCAGGAGAATCGCTTGAACCCGGGAGGTGGAGGTTGCAGTGAACCAAGATCTCACGATTGCACTCCAGCCTGGGTGACAAGACAGAAACTCCATCTCAAAAAAAAAAAAAAAGAAGAAGAACCCAGTGGGGGGCAGTGTGGGAGTAAGGGCAGCCCAAGGGGTCAGCAGAGTCCACCAGACCCCGCCAGCCCCCACTCCCTCTGGGCTCCCCTTCTTCCTCCTCTCCTGGCCAGCCTCCCTCCACTCCCCTTCTTTATCTATGGCCTCTGCTGGCTCAGGCTTCTGGCTGGGTGTTCTCTGCTTCGCCTACTCCTGTCAGTCATCTGCTTGAGTGTTTCACGGCCTTCCTGGGAGAGCTTCGGACTGGGTAGACTGATGCCCACGTAGAGCCAACTGTCTCCATGGGGCACAGCCGTTGCCCTGGGCCACTAGGGATCCACTCTGCCAATAGCTCAGGGGCCATCCTTGGTCTGATCACCTGTGCTGGGAGTAGCAGGTCACACAGGAGAACACGGTGCTCTGTGGGGAAAGCCCTCCAGCAGGGGCACCGCACATGGCAGAGACCCGGAGGGCAAGGGTCAAGCTGGCGCTAGTGTGCAGATCTGTGTGGGTGAAGGGGTGGATGGCTCACCCACAGAGGATGGTGGCCAGGGCAGGGGAGGACTCCAAGCAGGTTCGCGCCAAGAGCCATCGAAGGCACTGGGGGTTGGACTTGGGGAAGAGAAGACATCCACGTAGCCTCGGCTATAGTTAGCAAGGCTGGCTCCCGGTTCTGATCCTCTCTCTTCTCAGACAGACTAATGCCTGCGCTTCCTAGACCCTTTTGCAAGTGGGCAGGGTCATGTGACTAGTTCGAGCAGCTACAGGTGACATATGTCACTTTTGAACCAAACACTGAGACCTGTGTGAGATTTGTCACGTTCTCTTGCCTGGCTGCGGTGAATTCTGAAGCTTTTTGTTCAGATTTAAGTAGCTTGGAATGCACACCTGCCCTGGGGAGAAGAGCTGAGGAAGGAGCCCCTGCAGGCACTGAGGTCTCCCCCCGCCCATCTCTCCTGGGCGGTCCTGACACAGGCCCAGGTTGGGTGCTGATTCGGGAAGGTTGGTGCCACTGGCAGACATGAAGACTGGCATGGAAGACTGAGCCAAACTGGCTTAGAATCTGGGGCTCTGAGGTTCAGATGGCAGACGTCATGAGTCTGGAGGGCAAGAACTGTGCCAAGCATACCCTTGCACCCGGGACAGTGCCAAGCACAGGTGCATGCTCAGCAAGCGGATTCTAAATTGATCCTATAGGCAGGCACCAATGAACACTCATTTCTAGACAAGAGTGTGGACATGCATGTCTCAGTGCAGGGCAGCAGCAGTCTCCCTTCCTAGGGCACTGCGCTGTCTAACACGCAGGGCAGCAGCAGTCTCTCTTCCTCGGGCACTGCGCTGTCTAACACTCAGGGCAGCAGCAGTCTCTCTTCCTCGGGCACTGCGCTGTCTAACACACAGGCAGTGGCCACACGTGGCTCTTTTGCCCTAAATGAGTTACACTGAAACTCAGGTCCACTCACACCCACCGCATTTCCAGTGCTGGTGGCCGCTGTGTAGGGCAGGTTGGACAGGGTGTCTTTGTCATTGCAGGCAGTGCGATGGGACAGTGCTGTTCTAGAAGCATGTACGCCACGAGACTGTTTGGGGAAAGCACAGAAACCCGATGAGCTCTGGCCGTGTTACAAAATCCTCCAAAGACATTCCCGGTTCACAGACTGCGGTTACAAAGCCGTCAGCCCCCTCACGCTCAGGGTTTGATGGAGGAAAATGGTCAGAAAAGCAAGAGAGAAGAAACTGTGGGCTGCGCCGGGGGGCGGTGACACAACCCAAGCGCTTTAGGAGGTCGAGGTGGGACGATCACCTGTGCTCAGTTCAAGGCCAGCCTGGCCAACGTGGTGAAACCCCGCCTCTACTAAAAATTAGCCAGGCGTGGTGGCACACACCTGTAATCCCAGCTACTCAGGAGGCTGAGGCAGGAGAATCGCTTGAACCCGGGAGGTGGAGGTTGCAGTGACCGAGATCGTGCCATTGCACTTCAGCCTGGGTGACAGAGCGAGATACCGTCTCAAATAAATAAATAGATAAAATAAAAAAGAAGAAACTGCTGACACACGGAGGGTGTGAGGAGGAGCCATGAGGAGTGCCGCGATGGGCAGCGATTTGGAAAGTCAGCAGAGGGCCCTGTCTGAGTGCGGAGCTTCGGAGTTGAACTGAGAAGGAAGGGAGGGGCCCTGGGTTGAGAAGCAGCAGAGCTACCCCAGGAGGGAGATCTGGATGAAAGCTGGAATAAGGCCTGCTGTCGGAACACATGGAGGCCACCATTTGTGGGTGTGACCATGGGGACAAACACAGGGGCCAGGTGGTGGGGGGGGTTGCATAAGGCCTGGCTCTTGAGGCCACGGACGAAGGCTATGGGACCTTGGTGTGACCCGACTGGTGTTTTCAAAGTGTCACTCTGGCTCTGGGAGGGCATGATTTGCCCAGGGGTAAGTGTGGGACCGGACTGCAGAGGAAGGCCGTGCTGCAGGCAGGGAGGGGCCTGAGTGTGGCCAGGGTGCCTGCATGTCCCGGCTGCCAGGGCCAGACCAGGCTTATACCTGTGTCCAGGATCATGGGTCACGGTGCCACCTCCTGTTCTCAGAATGTCCACTGGATAATTCCACGGCAGTGTCTGTGCAGGTGGAGAGCTGTAGGCCGAGGCTTGGGAGGCGGCACTTACCAGGGCTTGCGGGTGGTTGTCCTTGGGGGCTGGGGAAATGCTGATTTCTGACTGTGTAACTGGGTGGACGGAGGTGGCAGGTTGTGTGCGTGAACAGGCTTCTGGGGGGAAGACCTAAAGTTCAAAAGAATCATGAATGTCATTGGAATAGGCTTAGAGATTATGAGGCATTGTTTAATCCGCGTGGGAGCCTGGCTTGCATTCTCTTTCCTTCCGGTCTTTTCCCTGGCCCTGTGTTCAGCCACAACCAGTCACTGAATTTTCCGGAAGCTGTGAGGCTGTTCCCAGCCTCAGCACCTCCGCTACGGCTGTTCCAGCTGGCCGGAATGCCCTTCCCTTCCTGGGGAGGTATTTAATCCCTTACCTCCCATTTGCCAAGACTTAGCGTAGCAGCAACTGGTCTAGAAAGACTCCCCTGACCTGGGGGTGTATTTGGGGCCGCCCAGGGGCCAGCTCCACAGAGCATCGATCAGCCTGGCTGCCCTTGTCTCCCCAACCTCTGAGGCAGGTGCATATCAGGTTTCACTCCTCACTGGCGTCAGCAGAGTGCCTGGCCCTGTTGAGGGCCCAGGAATTCGTCTGCCTGCTCAAGCTGCCTCCGGGGAATGTCCTACGGGGCCCCTCCCCAAGGCCTTGCCTGCCCCCGCTCCCCAAGGCCTTGCCTGCCCGCCCCCCCAGGGCCTTGCGGGCCCTGTGCACACCCCCAGCGCCATACCGGGAACAGGCGCCCTCCCCAAGGATCCCGCCCCTTGCAGGAAGGGCCTTGCCTTTAAAATCACACACGTTCATAACAAGTGCTCTTGTACTTCCATATGTGATAATGCATTGTCTTTTATTTCCGAGGGTTCCCGGGGTCAGACATGACACTGCACTGCTGAGAAATGGGGGTTTCCAGTTGCTCAGGCTCAGATTGCTCAGCGGCAGGAAGCGGATTAGGTGCTAAAAACTCCCCCTCCCTGGCCGAGCTGGGCGGGTGAGAAGCCGAGAGGGAAATGGGACTTGGCATGTCGTGGGCGCTGAGGAAGCGGACAGAGTAAGGCCGACTCACAGGCAGGAACACTGGGTCACACACAAGAGGTAACACCCACTGAGGACGCGGAAACAGACTGCGGTGCTTCAGCCACCTCTCGGCGCGTAGCGGCATCCTGTGACGGCCGGCGCCGCACCCCAACACACGCCGCCGCACCCCGACACACGCCGCATGGCAGACACCAACGCCTTTGCGTGGGGAGCCCGGCCAGCCTCCTGCTCGGGGATGCCCTGCTGGCGTTGGGGATGAGGAGAGGCGGATCTCCATCCTTTGCTCCCCAACAGCGTGTGGTTGTCTGTTTCAGGGACACACAGGAGCTCATTGCTCCCGGGGCGTGTGGGGCTTTTCAGGTGGGTGTGCTGAGACACCGCCAGCCGCAGCACAGGACGGCACACCGAGAGCTACGTCGGGCATTAGGTGGGGGACGTGGAAATCTTTTATTCCAGGGCTTTGGCCATCAGAGGAAGATGTTTTCTCTCCAAGACTTGGAAAAACAACAGCAAGGAAAACAGTGGTGGCTACACCTGACATGTATTTACAAAGCGCGATTCAGAGGGGTCTGTCCTGAAGGTTACCTGTGTGACATGAAAAAGAAAAGAGAAGAAACCAGACAGGGAGCTCTGTGTATGAGGACCACACCGAGAACCGACTGAAACCACACAGATGGGAGCGGTGGAGAATAAGGCTGGAGGCCGCTCCCCTGTGGAGGGACCCTAAATCCAACTCTATATATGTCATCTCGTGTTTAAGTAGGCTATACTTTTTAATAAAATAAAAACTTCTGTGTAACTTTAAAGATACTGTGTAGGCATCTAGGGGGTGATCCGGAAGAGGGACGCAGCGCATGTAGCGGCGCTGCCAGAGGTGCCTGTCAGCTGACATTTGTTCCTAAAGGGGCCTGCAAAAATCACGAGCCCTACTCTTGCCACGGCCCCAGACGCTCCCTGCCCTGTCTGCGGGTCTGCCTGTGAGGCAAGGCTGCCCAGGCTCCAAAGGGGCTGTGTGCCCATCCTTGAAGATGGATGTGTGTCAGTATCCATCTCTGATAAGCCTCACAGCTCATGTTCCGGGCACCTCTGTCCCCCACGTGCCTAGCACTGGGGCCAGGGCACCTCGAGGATGCTGGGAAGGTAGGCTGGGCTGCAGCCACCTGTGCACTCTGTCTGATGCCCCACGCAGCCAGTTTGCAGCCTCTCCCTGACACCAAGCCACAGCGGGGAAGGGTGGTGTGAAGCTAGCTGTCTCAGCCCTAAACTACGGGCAGGAGTGTTGCCGGCAGGCACAGGGGCTGCACCTGCTGCGAACCCCCTCCCGCCCACCCCATCAATGCAGGGAAGCCAGAGCAAGGTGTGTGGGAGGGGCGTGCATGGTTCTCGCCAGGGACCCCTCGCCTCGGCTCCCGGCGCACAGCAGTGGGCAGGCTGGCAGCCGTCAGAACAACAGGGCTTTCTTCTTCAGGTCGTTCCTCTTCCAGAGGGCCAGGCGGTCAAACTCCTCCATGCTCATACCGAACACTTCCTGGAACTCCTCGGTTGACAAGTGTCTCTTAAAAAAAAAAAAAAAAAGGCCAGTTAGCATAGCAATGCAGCAAGGTACGCCATTGGGCAGCTTGCTGCCACCAAGCAATCCAGGGGCAGGATCGAACTGAGGATGGGGTGGTGGCCCTCAGAGTGCCCGGCCTCCTGGCAGTTCCTGGCACCCTCTCTGCTGTGAAAGAACTGAGCTCAGAGGTCAGCGACCCTGCCAGGGACACTCAGGAGACACAGCGCCCAGTGTCGGAGCTGGGGCCAGAACCCTCTGCTCTCGACTCCTACAAAGGCATCTGTGGATGCAGACCAAGTTCATCACATTCTGGAGTAGGACCCCCCACCCCCAGCCTGCGGACGTCTGAGCTTCTGCAGATTTCCTTCAGTGCTCATATTTGTTACTTCAGCAAATGGTCACAGCTGCCGTTGGAGAGTAGGAGGTGAAGGGTTTACCCCGGACTTCACAGCCCAGGAAGCTGGGGTGCAGACAGTGAGCAAAGACACTGGGCAAGGCCCAGGCCTGGGGGCAACTCCTCTGTCTCCCAGAAGCCTCTGGTGTGTGAGCGTGAGAGAGTGATCGTACCTCTCTGCGCCCAGCTTCTTGCTGGGGACACTGTGGAGAGGCACACAGCTTGGTGGTCAGGGCATGGATGCCGGCGCTTCTGGGATGCCGTGTGAGTGAGTTAGGCCCTGGCACCTCAGTCTGCTCATCTGTGTAATGGGGCCCCCTAGAACCCACACCCTGGAACTGCAGGGAGGAAGGTGTGCACACAGTTAACACTGGCCGTGGACCGTACCAGCGGTGCTGGCTGCACGTGTTATGTATAACCTCGGTCACCGCAAGCTCTGTGGACCTCTCTGCCAAGCAGGCACCTGCCTTCTAGCCTCTGCCTCAAAGGGTCTGTTCCCCTTACTCTCAGCAGGCTGTGAGAAACCCCTCATCCTTCAGAGCTGGCTCAGGGGTCCCCTCCCCTGAGGAGCCTTTCCAGGGAGCGCGGGGCTTTCCATCCAAGGCTGCTCCCCTTGCCTCGCCTGGGCCGGGTTGAGAGGAGGAAATGGAAGGAGGCTGGAGAAGGCCAGTGGTTAGGAGGCCAGGCTCTGCCCTGAACCCCCGTGTGTTGCTGTCTGAAGTGTGGCTTCAGTGCAGCTGTGGGGGAGCAGTTTTCTGCAGTTCTGCGACACGCTCCACCTGCTAACATATGCTGCCCCAGCCACCCACTCTTGGGCAGACACCGGGGGAATGGAAAACAGGGACTCAGACAGACGACGGTCACCCAAGTTCATGGCACTATTATTCAGAATCGCTGCGGCGTGACACAAGCCGGGTGCCCATCCTCGGACGAACAGATACACAGAATGTGGCACGTCCGAGTGACGGAACAGCCCTCGGCCTTCAAAGGCCGTCAAGTTCTGACACACGCCACAGCTGGACAAGCCTCAGACACACTGGCTCCGTGAAGGAAGCCAGACACCAGAGACCGCATGGTGCATGATTCCACCTGCAGGAAATGTCCTGATGAGCAAGTCCACGAAGGCGGAGCGTGGATCTGTGGTCGCCAGGGGCTGGGGGAGAGAGGAGGAGAGGCTGCCTCATGAGTATGGGGCTTCCTCCTGCTGTGATGAAGATGTTCCGGAGCTGCATGGAGGGGCTGGTTGCACGAGGTTGTGAACGGCACTGAATGGTACACTTTAAAACGGCTAAAATGGGCTGGGTGTGGCGGCTCACGCCTGTAATTTCTGCACTACGGGAGGCGCAGGTGTGTGGATCGCCTGAGGTCAGGAGTTCCAGACCAGCCTGGCCAACATGGCAAAACCTTGTCTCTACTAAAAATACAAAAATTAGCCAGACGTGGTGGTGTGCACCTGTAATCCCAGCTACTCAGGAGGCTGAGGCAGGTGAATTGCTTGAACCCTCCGGGAGGCGGAGGTTACAATGAACTGAGATTGCCTCACTGCACTCCAGCCTGAATGACAGAGTGAGACTCTGTCTCCAAAAAAAAAAAAAAAAAAAAAATCAATAAAAATAAAATAAATAAAATAGGGCTGGGTGCGGTGCCTCACGCCTGTAATCCCAGCACTTTGGCAGCTGAGATGGGCGGATCACCTGAGATCAGGAGTTCAAGACCATCTTGACCAACATGGAGAAACCCTGTCTCTACTAAAAATACAAAACTAGCCAGGTGTGGTGGCGCCTGTAGTCCCACCTACTCCGGAGGCTGAGGCAGGAGAATCCCTTGTACCTGGGAGGCAGAGGCTGCAGTGAGCCAAGATCACGCCACTGCACTCCAGCCTGGGCAACAAGAGTGAGACTCCATCTCAAACATAAATAAATAAATAAAATAAAATGGTTAAAATGGTCAATTTGGATGGGTGTGGGGTCTCATACCTGTAATCCCAGCACTTTGGGAGCCCGAGGCGGGCAGATCACTTGAGCTCAGAAGTTTCAGATCAGCCTGGGCAACATGGCGAGACCCCATCTCTACAAAAATTACAGAAATCCGCTGGGTGTGCAGGCATGTGCCTGTAGTCCCAGCTACTGAGGAGGCTGAGGTAGGAGCATCATTTGAGTCCGGGGCAGGGGGGTCGAGGCTGCAGTGAGCTGTGATCCCACCTCTACACTCCAAACCTGGGTGACAGAGCAAGACCCTGTCTCAAAAAACAAACAGACAAACAAAAACCTCAAGTGCTATATTAGAATCACTGTGATTAGCAAAAGAGAAAATGGCACTGGGGACATCCGGTCACTGAGAGGTGTAAACCGTTGTCACTCGCACATTTCACAGCGATCACCCGATCCGTGTGGTGTGTTGGATTTTGGAGCTCTAGTTGTTAGGGTGATCTGGAGGCGGGACTCAGGAAATCCCCCTCCCCACCCACAGCACAGCCAGCAAGTCTGCCAGGAAGAGGCCCTCAGCTGCCTGCTGCTATCTCGAGTTTGCGAAGAGGAAAAGAGTCCTGATGCGTGCCAGAAGCTAACCACTTGCATGCTGTTAAGATCAGGGTTTCTCAGTGCTGAGAAATCGGTCAGCCAGTCCACAGAAACTTAGAACTGTCACCTCAGATGGTGTCTCTTAAGACATTCAAGACACTCAGTGTGTCATTTACCACAGTGGCCCTGGGCTGGGCGCGGTGGCTCATGCCTGTAATCCCAGCACTTTGGAGGCCGAGGAGGGTGGATCACTACGTCAGGAGTTCAAGATCAGCCTGGCCAAGATGGTGAAACTTCATCTCTACTAAACAATACAAAAATTAGCCAGGCATGGTGGCTGACACCTGTAATCCCACATATTCGGGAGGCTGAGGCAGGAGAATGCCTTGAACCCAGGAGGCGGAGGTTGCAGTGAGTGGAGTTCCTGTCGCTGCACTCCAGCCTGGGTTGACATGGCGAGACTCCATCTCAAAATGAATGAATGAATGAATGAATGAATAAATGAAAGACAGCAGCCCTGCACTTTTAGGTACCAAATCACCATCTTCCCAGTTACAGTGGAACGATCAAGGCAAATGAGATGAAAGGAAAGAAAAAGGAAAAGCATTTCTAGCTTTATCCCACAAACACTGACTGAGCTGCAGCGACACGCCAGACCTTGTTCCAGACGTGGAAAGCCAGAGAGACACAAGGCCCCTGGGGGGTTGGCTGGGGAGGTGAACTGACACGTAGGCATGCAAGGGATCGGAGGCTGACGGAGGCTGACGTGGAAGGGAGAGGAGAGTTCAAGTCCAGTGCTTGCGCCTGGGGCAGGCCTCCCTGCTGCCACATTCCTGCTTCCTGCTGGAGGGGCACAAAGGTGCTAGTGGGCAGCGGGGAGGCGTCAAGGGGGTGGTGTGGCAGTGCCCAGTGGCCCCTGCCATCTGCAATCGCGTATTTAAAGGGAGAAGACTGGTGAGCGAGTGGTCCCTCGGGTTTAGCTGGAGGAGGGAGGAGGGAGGAGGAAGGAGGGAGCTGGCAGGGGGTGGTGGGTGGGGCAGTTGTGCCCCACATGCTGGGAAGGAGAGAAGGGCAGGTGTGGGGATGACACCGTGGGCTCCAGACTGTGGGAGCCTCTGGTGAGGGTGATTGGAGGAAGACTTGGAGCTGGCGGGCAAGCAGGAAGGCTGGCAGGGTGCCGGGAGGTGGGTGTGGGAAGCAGAGGTACTCCGAGGGATGACTGTGGGGGGCGGTGGAGGGGTGGTGTGGCTGAGGTGGTGGAGAGAGCATCTGGGTGGCTTCTGAAGTTGCTGTGAATGGTTACCTCCTCTGGGAGCATGGTAGTGGGACCCGGACACTGTATCACCCGGACACATGCAGCCAGGTTTGGCAGAGCACAGGAACAGGGAGGGGCCGGGGGTGTCCTGAGCATGGGGGCTGGGCCGGGCCACTCGTATGTGGCCTACAGGGCCCAGGACTTGGGGCCAAGGGTCTAGGAGACTGGCAGGGACCCCTCAGGCTCCAGTCCTGTTTTCTGTCTGCAGGGTGAGAAGAGAACTTGGTTGCCTGAGTACCCAGAAGGCTGGGTGAGGGTCACATGAGGGGCCATCCCCAGTAGGGGGGTCTGTTCATGACTCTGGACTCCAGCTGTGGGATCCTGAGTGTCAGCCCTTACCTGGCTGTCTCTACTGCCTCCTGGGTGAGAAGGGCTCCAAGGCCCCACCCCAGCTAGCTGTAGAACCGGCATTCAATCTCACTCAGCGCAGAGGCAGGCAGGACGGGTGAGGCCCAGCTGACCCCAGAGGCCAAGCCAGCTTTCTGGCCTCAAGCCCACTCCTCTGGCCCCTGGTTCCTGAAGGCTCTGCAGGAGTGCGCCTCACCCCCAGGGCCTCTGCAGGCCAAGCCCAGCTGTTCCTGAGCTGGAAGGAAAACAGCCCGGGGTGGTGTCTTTGCAGAGGGTGGGGTGGCCTCACTGATGAGGTACACTGGTTTCTCCAGGGTGCATCCTGCAGGGAGGCGTTTCTGCAGCATGGGAGGGGGTCTGCTTCAGGAAGCACAGGCTCAGAGAGGTTGTGTGACTTGCCCAAGGTCACACAGCCAGGAAGTGGCAG